ATACTATCCCAGTCTATATATTCTGCTTTTTTCAAAACCTCTCTCACAATATTTTTCTTATCTAATGGTATACGTTCCATCTTACCTATAGGTATCTTTTCTTTTAACTCTTTCAATATATTGTTTGTGTCTGGAATATGTTTGAGACGGTCCATATAGTTGTCGAAGTCATTGCATATAATCTTTGAGTCTGGGAATATTATATGACATAAATGGGATATATAGAAACTTCCACCGAACAAATCTACAAATGTTAGACCATTCGGTAGTTTCTTAAGTTCTCTCAATAGAATATCTTTACATCTACTCTTATTTCCAAAGAACGGTAACGGTGGTTTTGTAAAATTCATTTATATATAATAATAAAAATGTTTTTACCCGAAAAGTGACAGAAAAGTGACAAAACATGAAAACATATATAATTTGTGAAAAGCGACACATTATATAATGTTTTCGACCCAGAAGAAGGCTTCTTCCCAGAAGCAAGGAGGAAGAAGAAGAGTCCTCCGAATATAAACTTCATTTATACTAAACATCTTCGGGGCTAGAGGGCACGAAGTGCCTGGAAGCCCCACTACCCTTTTTTTTTTTTTTTTTTTTTATATATAACTATTTTATATAAAAATCAAATTCAATGATCTTAAAAGCGAATGATAAACCTCAAAATTTACGAATATAATGAGTGGGAATATAATGCTTATCTATCATAAAACCATATGAAATATCAATTTTTGCTTTACGCCTAATTTTTGACGACAATTAGCAAAAAATGTTAAATGTTAACACTCAGTCCATTTGAATATGAAAAATAAAATTGACTTTGATTAAATGTGGAATAAACAGAAATTCATCAAAAGTGACAGCTCTCAATTTTTTGACATTTGTAAATTCTAAATTGAATGAGAAAAATGAAATAATACTAAGCATAATACAATATTCTAGATTTAATTATAATTAGGAAAAGTTAGTTTTGAGAGTACTTTTCATAGGCATATAGAATGAAATCTTCTGAAAAATAATATCACATAAACTCATATTATTTTCTAATATATAACTATTTTATATAAAAATCAAATTCAATGATCTTAAAAGCGAAGGATAAACCTCAAAATTTACGAATATAATGAGTGGGAATAGGCGTAAAGCAAAAATTGATATTTCATATGGTTTTATGATAGATAAGCATTATATTCCCACTCATTATATTCGTAAATTTTGAGGTTTATCCTTCGCTTTTAAGATCATTGAATTTGATTTTTATATAAAATAGTTATATATTAGAAAATAATATGAGTTTATGTGATATTATTTTTCAGAAGATTTTGTGTTCTTCTTCAAAATTTTATTTTTTTATTAAAAAGAATCTTTACAAAATATACATTTACTTTAATTAATATTTTAAAACGTGCTCTATCAAAAGTTCCAAAAATTCAATATTTTAGCTTTTCTGAGGTGTCACTTTTGATGAATTTCTGTTTACAACAATGTTTTTATTTATCATGCAATTCTTCTTGCGACCAAAGATTTGAATAAAACTTCAAAAAATAAGATAGCTTAAAAAATAATATACGGTAGTGTTTACTAATAGATGAATAGTATATAAATTCTATTAAAATGGATTTGATCCAAAAAAATATATAAAATTTGATCATAAATAAAATCGTTTTAAATTACTTCTTCATTTAAATTATTGTTGTAAACAGAAATTCATCAAAAGTGACACCTCAGAAAAGCTAAAATATTGAATTTTTGGAACTTTTGATAGAGCACGTTTTTAAATATTAATTAAAGTAAATGTATATTTTGTCAAGATTCTTTTTAATAAAAAAATAAAATTTTGAAGAAGAACACAAAATCTTCTGAAAATAATATCACATAAACTCATATTATTTTCTAATATATAACTATTTTATATAAAAATCAAATTCAATGATCTTAAAAGCGAAGGATAAACCTCAAAATTTACGAATATAATGAGTGGGAATATAATGCTTATCTATCATAAAACCATATGAAATATCAATTTTTGCTTTACGCCTAATTTTTGACGACAATTAGCAAAAAATGTTAAATGTTAACACTCAGTCCATTTGAATATGAAAAATAAAATTGACTTTGATTAAATGTTTTTATTTATCATGCAATTCTTCTTGCGACCAAAGATTTGAATAAAACTTCAAAAAATAAGATAGCTTAAAAAATAATATACGGTAGTGTTTACTAATAGATGAATAGTATATAAATTCTATTAAAATGGATTTGATCCAAAAAAATATATAAAATTTGATCATAAATAAAATCGTTTTAAATTACTTCTTCATTTAAATTATAACAATTATTTTTGGTTTTATATTTTTTGGATCAAATCCATTTTAATAGAATTTATATACTATTCATCTATTAGTAAACACTACCGTATATTATTTTTTAAGCTATCTTATTTTTTGAAGTTTTATTCAAATCTTTGGTCGCAAGAAGAATTGCATGATAAATAAAAACATTTAATCAAAGTCAATTTTATTTTTCATATTCAAATGGACTGAGTGTTAACATTTAACATTTTTTGCTAATTGTCGTCAAAAATTAGGCGTAAAGCAAAAATTGATATTTCATATGGTTTTATGATAGATAAACATTATATTCCCACTCATTATATTCGTAAATTTTGAGGTTTATCATTCGCTTTTAAGATCATTGAATTTGATTTTTATATAAAATAGTTATATATTAGAAAATAATATGAGTTTATGTGATATTATTTTTCAGAAGATTTTGTGTTCTTCTTCAAAATTTTATTTTTTTTTATTAAAAAGAATCTTTACAAAATATACATTTACTTTAATTAATATTTATAAACGTGCTCTATCAAAAGTTCCAAAAATTCAATATTTTAGCTTTTCTGAGGTGTCACTTTTGATGAATTTCTGTTTACAACAATAGATTATATGATTTATACATATGAAAAATAATATATAAAAATATAATTTTGAGATAATTATGTAAATAATATTTTAAATATTTGAATTTGAGGTATAATTTTATAGTAAAATATATTATAAAGAGTATTTATATAAATATTGTAAAATAATATAAGTAATAAAAATTGAGACCCTCAGTAGTAGTATATGAAGGGTTTAGTGACTTTTTTTGTAAACGTAAGAATTCATACAATATCGAGCGATTTTGTATCATTTTTTTTAACATATGAAGTAAAAAATGTATGATTCTTACGGTTTTTATTCTTACGTTTTTGAATAAATCAAGATTTAAAAAATTTTCAAAATTGTAAGACATTTACACTCAGCCCATACATAATGAAATAAAAAATAAAAAATTTTTAAAAAATAAATCATTAAAAAATTAACATTAATTTTAAAATATATTTATTTATAAATCATTAAAAGAAGCTATATATAGACGATGTCAGATATTCCGCGATTAATTAAACATTGTTTAAATCCTGAATGGAATCAATGGTGTCATAATCAAAGACCTCATAAACTTCTTACGAAAAATTAAAACTTAGTTATGTTTATTATTTTATTTTTTTATTTTGTATGAAATGAGCGGAACAAAATTCGTGACTGTGAATCAATTAATGGATAAACTTTCATCAATTCTCACCCAGGTTAAACAAGTAGACGTTTATTTTGATGATTACATACAAAGTTTATTTTATAAAGGTAAGTTTAATATTAAACCTATTGCTTTTGCATTTGATGGTAAATTAATCGAAAATTCAAAAATTTGGGAATTAATTCCGGATATTGAATTTATAACAAATATTAAGGATAAATGGTTTAAACAACAAAACCACCTCACTAAAGTTCTTTGTAGATTAATGATTAAAACTGAGGAAAAAGAATTTAACGGGTTTAAATATCATCCATGTAAAATTTTAGAACTTGGTAACGAAAAACTTCAGAAAAAATTAAACGATAGACTATCAAAAGATAAAGTTGAAAGAGTAAATAAACTCGCTAAAGGTAATGGTAATGATGAAGAAGAATTTGATGAGTTCAACATAGAACTTTAAGAAACTAATGATTATTTGAATTTATGAAATCAATTATTTGATTCATTCTTTCTTCAATCTCTTCTATTCTTTTTGTTAAATCATCTATTTTCATTAATGAGGTGATTCTTGATTGAGGAATAGATTTCAAACTAACCACCCTTTTATTTTTGAAATTTTGAATCCATCAACTTTAAACATTTTATTCAATTTACACGTTGTCAATTCTTCAAATAATTTTTTATTATTAGCATAATAGTCATTAAATTCTTCAACAGATGAAAAAATTTTTATTTCAGTAATTGGTTTAACAACGTTTATTTTTTGTTGAACATTTTCACTTTCATTTATTTTTTTTTTTAAAATCGGTTTCATTTATCATTAAATAAAAATTAGAATATAAGTGATGAAATATATTTTTTAATTAATATTAAATCAGAAATGGCGGCAGGATTCTTTAAAAAATTATGGGATGGAATTAAGAAAGCTGCGGGTTGGGTTCATAAAAATATTATTAAACCCGTTGCAAACTTTTTGGCACCAGTAGCGAAAACGGCAGGAACTATCATAGGTGGAGTATTAGGTACTAAAGCAGGTAATCCGGCGATGGGAGCACAAGCAGGTAACGCAGTTGGTGGAATTGCTGAAGGAATACTTAATAAAATAGGAGGTAGATAGTGGAAAAATAAATAAATATTATTTTTATCTTAGTATCGGTTGTAGTCTTTGATAAACTTTTTCTCCTTTATTTAAAATTTCTCTTATTGGGGCAGCTTTTGGTGTTATTGATTCAGCAACGTCACTAATTGCTTCTTTATTCTTAAATATCCAATTTGCCCCTTCTTCATGTTTCCCAAACTTTACTCGCTCCTCTTTTTACTTTATCCCACAGTTTCTTAAATATACCTGCAGCCATAGTTGATTATTTCATTAAAATTAAAAATTCATTTTCATCTTTTAATTTTGATTTTTTATTTATTAATAAATGACGACTAACTATTTGGTGCCAAACACTAAACCGATTAATGGAAATGTGTTTCATTCATTCGAAAAGATAAATGAAATATTCGCAAAGAATGACGGTAGAAGATATTATAGAGAACTTGAAAGTTCATGCTATGACTCTGATGCTCCATATTTTGATGATAAACAAACTCATTTAAGAATTACAAATCCGGCTCATGATGTGAACCAATTAGGTGACACATATATTAAACGCAAAGTTAAAGCAACTCTAGTTTCAAATAAAGCTTTCACATGTGATGCCGCTTTTAAATGCATGCGTTTATTCGTTGGTTACAAATCATCAAATCAAAGCTTTAAACAATTAGAAGTAGAAACCGAAAGAGGTGATGCCGGTTATCTTCAGATGGATTGCGCCCGTGAATCTTTCGCATTTGCAACATATAAACCAAAATCAGAAAGGAAAGTTAAAAAGTTTGTTCATTCGTTATATAATAATGTTCAAAAATATGATAACTCAGTATGTGGTAAATATATTGACCCTTCAGAAGTTTTCAAGAAAGCAAATGAAGAAGTTGATGTCACTTTTGATATGATTATTCCGGTAAATGATTTGTTAGCATTTCAGGCGTTCGATGATTATCCTAAATCATTTGGTGATATCATTCTTAAATATTATGTTTTCAGGGATACTTTAGTATTTTGTCAGGTTGACCCGTTAAGAGTTGCTGATTTACAAAATTACGTTTATGAAAAGATAACTGATGAAAATTATGAAAAGATTATGAATCATGTTTATAAATATGATCGCAAATTCCAACAAATCGGACTTCCTGCCAAATTAATTACAAGCTTAGCCGCTACATCTGCTGACGCAACAGTTGATGACGTTATTATTTCATGCACAAAGATGGAAGTTTTAGAGGATAAATGCATTACACCAGGATACGGTTTAATTGAAGAATCAGTTAAAGCAATACCACGTTTATTCAGTAAGGAAGATCCATTCATGATTCCAGCTCAACATATTGACGTTCGTTCACTAAATGGAGGTTGCATCACTCCTGAAGGTATTAGCTCAGATTTCTCATACGCTCTTCATAATGTTACAGATGTTGTGTTAGCATTTCCGAAGAATGCAATGCAAAGAACAGTTTTAGAAAATCCAATGCTTCGAGGTCTTCAGGTCACTATAGATTCCAGAAACTTCCCCGATCAAGCGATGACCACAGTGGGCGACATATTCTTTACACGTATGCTTCAAGCTTCTGATTTAGATGGAGTGAATGAATGCACAGAAGAATACGAGGACTCATTAACTAGACCACTGAATGATGATGATGGCACGCCATTAGCTAGAACATGGAAAGACCAAACTTCATTCTTATGCACTATTCCAGTTCAACGTGATGGAGCGGGTATATTCTTTGATGGATTAGAAACTTTCAACTCACAAGTTACAGTACAAGTGAAAGCTTATCCAATCATTCAGGGTGAAAATGACACTTACTGTTCAAAGGTGACAAATCCTCCTCAGGTTTGGTTTACTAGGACTACATATTGGACATGGACACCGGATGAAGGTTTGAAATATCATCCAACAGGTACACCACCACAGTATAGAAGTTCATATGATGAAATATTGATGAATAGAAATGTTTAAAATTATAAATTTATTTTTGATTAAATGGATTTAAATTCATCCACTCCTTATGAAGAATTAGCAGGAGTATATAATACATACGTAGATGATATGATTAATGAAGCATTGAGTGATAATAGAAATGCTCTATCTAAGGAAAAATTAATGAAAATTCCATATTCTGAATGTTACTTAAATTCAATCACTGCAGCAATTGGTAAACAAATAAAGGTAAAACATTAACGATATTAAAACAAATTATCATTATTGCTAACACTTCCCCCTATTCACATGTGTTAATTTATATCAACCGTTCAGGTTCACCTTCAGATGATACATTTGAATCTTTAAAGCATTTAATCAAAATTCCAATTATTTATTTATCACAAGAAGAAGCAGAAGATTATTTAAAAAACTTTTTAATGTATAAAGAATTATATAATACAATCAAGAAGCAAGGATTAGAGGATAAAATTATTGATAAACAACGGGATGAATTATTTGAAACACTTTCTATTTCAAATTTTGATAGAGAATTTTTGCATTCACTCATTTTTCTAGATGATGCAGTGAAATCAAAACTAATAACAAACGAGAAATCATATTTTAATCAGTTATTAACTCAATGTCGACACATTCAGTGTTCATTCTTTATGGCTGTTCAATATTTCAAAGCATTAAGCACAAACATTAAATCAAATCTATCAACCCTTTTCATTTTCAGTGGGTTTAGTCGTCAACAGTTGAACGTTATGCTTTATCAAGTGAATTTACCAATGAGCATTAATGAACTTTACACACAATATCAGCAATTAGGTGAACATGGGAAAATAATAGTTGATTTAAATAAAGGAGGTGTTAAATTTGATTAACTTTTTATAATTAATTTTTATTTTTTATTTATAATTAAACATGACTGAAATAGCAAATCTTCTACAGGTTCCATTAAAACAAGGAACAAACAAAAAGGGTGCATATAATAGAACTATGAAAGTTCCTGATGGAATGAAAGAATTAGTTCATATTGTTGCTGGTCTTCAAAAAGATGTTAAACAAATGAGAAACGTTTTAACATTACCAGAAGCTCAAGCATATGCCAAACGTCAAGGTCCAAATTGGGAAGCACACGAAGCAGACATTACGGGTCCAAATGGAAAACCTGATGGCATATAAATGAAGTTTTCGTTACTGATGGTCAAGGTAATATTAAAGTCATAAATGGTTACAAATTAACTATAACTGATTATCCTAAACGTAAAGCATATAATGAACGTTATCCTATGCAATTTGATGAAAATGGAAAAGCTGTTAAACAATACATTGGAGAAGGTGAAAATGGTCCAATTAATTCATACCGTTATAATCCATATTCTTATTTCAATGAAGAATTAAATGCTATTGAAGAGGGACCAGATGGATTACCACGATATTCTAACCAGTTTGATGGTCGATATGCAAATATTAGACCTGAAATTTCAGCTAAGAAATTCTTTAAAGTTGCTTTATTCGATCCAGTTTTCGCAAATGTTAAAGATGAACTTAAACAGCAATTCCAACCAATTATAGTAGCAAGAATTGCATCAGGTGCTTTATCTCAAGCATTCATAGATTTAATTAAGAAACCATTATATCAGCAACGAGGTTTAACTTATGATTTAGTTAAGGAATCAGATAAAAGAAAATTTGAGAAATCAGATGATTATAAGAATGCAATTAATGAATATATTAGGTCTATTAATTACAATGAACCAGCTAAAAATCAACTTCATGAACAAATACAGGGAATAATAGATTCAAAACTTCCAGCAAAATAAAAGTTTAAATATATTTTTTTATTCGAATATAAATGAGAAGACGTTTCACTAGTCAAAAGAACACTAACGCAAAAGCAGAGATTACGGTTGGTTATAACGTAAATGATGATAAATCACGAATTATTCAAAATGTTAAAGTTAATGTTAGCCCTGAATTAACAAGGTCAGCAACTCAACCAAATTTATTAACTCGTGACTTACCGAAAAAGGAGGAGGAGCAAAATAAAGAAGATGGAGACCCAATCATTTTATCTGAACCCGGTAAAGAACCTGTTGAAATTCCCACTTATCCAACATACCCCCACCTCTTTCATCAAACATCGAGAACCCATATAAAATAGACATTAATTCTGAATTAATGAAAATTTACCGTGATATAATAATTAATAATTATGATTCAATAATAAATTTAATTGACCAATCCGGTTTAATTATTTTACCTTATGAATCATTAATTCACATTATCGCCATTCTTTGTGATGTTCAAGATTCAGACGTTAAGATTCAATTTTTCATAGATGATGAGGTTTCATGCTGCGGACTAGTTGCAAAAATAAATCCTATAAAGGATATTAGCACAATTAAGATATCAAAGAACGGAACAACAACTGAACTTCATTTAACATATAATGATATTTATAATAAAATAGTTGATGAATATAAAATATCACTTGAAAAATTCTTTGTTAAGGCTATTTAATCTTCAAGCATTAACATTATCGAATAATAATCCTTTGAATCATAATCAATAATAATTGACCTTTCACCAGTTTCTATCGTTTGTTTTATTTCTTTTTGTTCCCCACTATCCGGATCGGTCATTGTAATTGTTTTTGTTATAGTATCAGCTTTATCTTTAACTTCAATCTTTTTTCCATCGGGATATTTAAACCAAAATTCCAAAAATTCGATATTGTCAATCTGTTCATATTTTAATCTATCAATTACATTTTTAATACCATCTGAAATCTTATGAAATGGTCATTATATGGTTTGATTGAACTAAATTTGAATGAAGTGAAATATAACCCTGTTGATGAATATGGACACTGACTCATATTTTCTGAAAACACTAAAATTTATAACATGAATGAATTTCTTATTCGTTGAATTTATGAATTCTTGAGGTAATCTTATTCTAGTTTTATTTATCACTGGAAAATAACGCTTTACCATATTTTTAATCGTAATAAAAAAATGTCAATTATCAATATTATTTCGAATAATAACTGTGAATTAAATTTAACAGTTAGCGGAATTTATAATGTTACTCTCGTTTCTGTGAGTGGTAAATTTAATCCCATTCTTTTAGACCATTCAGATTATATATCATTTATTAAAGATGACCTCGAAAAAACGTATGATATGTATATAAATAATGTGATAGCGAAATGGGATATTAACATGATTTTAAGTTATTTAAATGAATCATTTATCGTATGGTATGAAGAAAATTTTAAATCAAAACCTGATAAACTTTTTGAACTTGATGAAATAAATAACCTTATTAAATTCCCGCTGAAAATTAAATTTTGTACTCCTCATCTTCGTTCATTGTTGGGGATATTAAATTTGAAAAAGATGTTGGGGATGTTTTGTATTCTGACACTGGTTCCAATTTTCATTTTAATCAAATGTGATAAAGTTAATACCCCAATGAGATTTTTCACATCAAACATTAGACCCTAACTCTTACCCATCAATACAAAACATTTTATCCATCAACTTAAACACATTTTCTTTATCATACATTTTCAATTATCCGGGAATTCATTTATTCTTCATTCAAAAGATTTATCAAATATTAAATTTAGAATAACTGACCTATTTGATTGTGATTTAGAATTTATGAATGAAATATTATGGCAATTTCAAATAGAGAAAATAGCTGATGAGATAACGGATTAAATATTTATTTTTAAATCGTAATAAATGATTAAACAACAGCAACTTAAGGCGCAAAGCACCCAGGTCCTTCAGACCATTACATACGCCATATACGCATATAATTCAAAGACGGCGGAACAAACGCAAAGGTTGAAATATGGAGATTTGGAGATAGTATTGAAAAATGACCGTTTCGAATTCGTTTGCAAAGGTGGTGCAGTGATATCAAATATAAAAGAAATTTTATTTATGAATTCAAAAATTAAAGGAATAACGGATGATATAACATCAATTCCACCAGAAGAACAGAGATATTACGCATTAAATGCATTTCCTAAAGTTTTGAAGATTGGAAGATTTAATTTAAATGAGGAATTCATAGAAGGTTTCCTAAATGACATAATGAAGAAGGTAGATAAGGAATACGTGGATAGTGAGTTAAATGAAGAAGGCAAATTTGGTTTATGTAGATGAAAAAGATAATGAAATTAAAGAAAAGGTTGAATGGTATCATAAATGGACATCGGAAGACTTTTAAAGTTAAAGCTGATACAGGATGGGTTTCAGGATGTTTAGACCTTAAAGCAGATAAAACTTATGTAGATG